GGGAAATAGGTTATAACACTAAAATTTAACACTACCAAATGGCTGAACACTTGGACCACATCGAAACAAGCAGAACCAAACTAACAGATGTTGAGCCAGGACTTTGGAAAGGACTCACGTCGAAACAAATTGTCTTATCCAAAATCTATCATCTGTATATCCTGAAAGTAGTCTAAAAGATAGCAAAGAAGTTCAATCATATGTTATACCTTGTAAAAGTATGTTGCAATACGCTGCTGTAATGTGAATTTACACCCTGGCCTCTCAGCTTCAAAAACGCTGCACAAAAATGGATATTAAGAAATCAGAACCAGCAACACTGCTATTATCAGCTGTCATAACATTATTTTTTTTGTTGGTAAGAAGCTGTCATTACATTGTGAAGATAGACCATCAAATCTAACCAACCAAAGAACTGAGGATGCACTGATTGTGTCATTCCCAGTTTTCACATAGAATATCGCGCCCTTCTGGAAGCATTAAATCATTTGTCTTGAGCTAAGTGAACAAGAGAACTTCCACAAATCAAAGTTCTAGCATGCACTTAAGGCAGCCAATACCTTATATGGAGAATGCCGTAATACCAATAGCCAGGTCCATTTCCACAAGAAACTTGGTTACTTTCGTTACATGTTTAGTCCTAAATGGTGAAGCTTGCCAAGTAATCTTAATGGTCAGCAGAAGTTACTTTACTCAAAAGAAGGAATCAGTTTCTGAAGGTCAACAGCATACATGTTCTTAAAAAGGAGAAAAGAAAAACTTGAGATATAAGGGTGCCTAGACACAGCCCTGGTTAACCAAGAAGAGACATTGGCCCTTGACCGAGGTTGCTGTGCAAATAAACGTATGTGCTCGTGCCTCAGTGCCTAACCCGCAACATTTTAATGTTTAGGCACATAAAAATAGCTAAACAATCTCAATCTCTGATTGAAGTATGAGAAACTCGAGTGTTAAAAATATAGGTTTTCAAAAACTATCTTGAAAAGGTATAGTCTTAGTCGACGCTTCTTCACTGATGACGACAGAATATCTGGATAACTATATCCTGATTTCACCTTTAAGTCAACTAGAATGAAAGTCTTATATCCCATCATGTTGGTAGTCTGCTTCTGCTACATTAAAATCTTCAATCTTGTCACAGCTCACAAGCTGGATCTACGAGAGAATCACCACTCTCTTACATTCACCAGATCTTAAAGGACCTATAAACGACACAAAATTCAACTGGAGATTCTCAAACTAGATTACTTTTTCCAACAGTAGGTAGTTGAATCAAGTTCAAAACTTTCTTCATCTGATTTCCTAGTAGCCACATACTGTGAGAATCCAAATTAGAGAACATATTTCGTTGTTTTACTCTTGTTGAGATCCTACATATCAAAGTCTCTGCTGAACAGATAGTGTTATAATTGATCGGCTCCAAAGAGATAAACATATGCTTTTCTGATAGATCTCCGCAGGTGCATGCATTTCTATATTGCATTGACTCCAGCGTATGCTTCTTCGGTCTCAATTTCAGTGTTCCAGTGACAAAATGCATTCCAAAAATTTTGAAACCTTTCAATTACGTTTATACAGGAAAGGGTGAAAATAAACCAGAAGCAATCAATCGGATACAACAAGGAGATATATACATTCTAAACTTAACTGGTTGATTCAAGAATGCTTTTACCCTTGTATTGATTGTCCATTTCATCTTACTTGAAGTGTCCATTAGTTTGTAATTGTTGCTTTTCCATTTGAACCCATGTGTGAGAACACAAAAAGGAACTCCAGATAATTCACAGAATATGGATAAGGTTTATATAGGTTATGACCAAGGTCCATCTGCATGAGAGGAGAGTTTTTAAGCTTTCGACAAGGTGAAACATTTTCATGAACAGAGAATTACTTTCTGTGTCTTGCCTACTGACTATCGCTCAGAAGAGCATGGCAGTTGCATGAGAGAAGATTTTTCAGCATTAGACGAGGTGAAACAATTTCAAGAACAGAGAATTACTTTCAGTATCTAGCCTACTGAACTCTCTCTCGAAAGAATGTGGCAGCTGCATGAGAGGGGAGTTTTTCATCATTAGACAAGGGGAAACAATTTCATGAATAGAGAATTACTTTCTGTATCTAGCCTACTGAACTGTCTCTTGGAAGAATGTGGCAGCTGTTACTCTGACGCAATTAGTGTAGGCCCTAGATGTTATGCTACATCCGCAAAATCATGAGAACAGAAAGTACAAAAGTTGGAAATCTGCATGACTTGGAAGCCAAAGAAAACAGAGAATAAATTGGTCACCTGCTAGGGAGAGCTCCACAAGCATGTCGAAAGCGTCCAAAAGAACTGCTTGAAACAGACTGCTTGCCTATTCGGACATAAGGAGCCAACATGCCTACCAATGCTACGTCAACAACAATTCCAACCAGAAGATCTGCAGCATACAACTCAAATTCTGCCCAGAAATCCTTTCCCCTTTTCTGAACCTCTGCGAATGTTGCACAACAGGAGTCGATAACAATCTGCAATACACCAGTGTAGGTACAAACTGCCACTATAAGATCAGGTTTAGACACTTGAACAATCAAGACAGTTTGAGAAGGAAACTGGTGCACAAAATGTATCCATCAATGAAACTGTTTATTAATCCATTTGGCAAAACCTACATTACCAAGTTACAACCCAATATATTTCCTTAGATTCAAATTTTTTTCTTTGAATATCCTCAAGCATGTGTAGCCCTTTGGTTCCTCCTTTTTCCTTTTTTCCTTACTTCTTTTCTGTTTATGCTTGTTCGCACCTCATGTATTATTGTCCCTAGAGGACTAGCAGTTACATAAAGTTGCTTCACATTGTCAAATAATTGTCCACACAACTTAATAAAAATTAACCTATTCCATAAAAACTTATTACAAGCTTTATACTTGAGTCACCTCACAGTGGCTACTTAGTACCCTATACGATACAAGTGCAAGTCAAGCACATATCACAATCACAGAGCTTAAAGAGTGAAATAATCGTGGCATGATTGTCAATCTGATAATACCAATCATGAAAATCCTCATGACATTAGTGATTAGCCATAACAAACTACAGGTATAACTGCATTCCATGTTTTTTTATTTCTTGAAAAAAGAGAGAAAATAGAGCTACCAGATTATCAAACTAACCTCTGTTCCAACTTTAAACAAAAACGACGGATCAGCAAGCATTCGATTTCTCAGCATTGAGGAATGTCTCATCAAAAATCCCAGCGGCCCGGCTGAACCCTGAATGTCAAATACAAAAACAACAATGCCTCAGTCCCAAACAAGTTGGGGTCGGCTGAACATTGAATGTCAAATACCATTTCAAAGTGCAATGAATATATTTGCACATATACTCCCTTCATCCAATTTATGTGATAATCTTTCCATTTTAGTCTGTCTTCATCCCAATTTATGTGATAATCTTTCCATTTAGCTTTATATAATTAGCAATAATTTAACTTTAAACTTCTCATTTTACCTTTAACGAGATTATTATAGCCATACAAATATCTATGGCTTGTTTTAGGTCACTAGCTTCAAAAGTATTTCCTTTTTTCAGAACTCCGTGTCCAGTCAAACAATGTGGTATAAAGTGGGATGAAAGGAGGTGGCGAAGCCACGTGGTCACTAGTCGTCGAAAAATTGCACTGTGTATACAGGTAAAATATTACGTTTTAGACATAATACATATTAAATACCCTTTGTCGGGATTTTTTTTTTTCAATTCTTTCAAATTTGAATACCCTTGGGAAAATTCTAACTTCGCCACTGATGAAACGAGTATTAAAAAATGAAACACTTAGCATCAAAGATTACATTCTCCGTACCTGCAAATCCAAGTAACGACTAAGAATCAAACTCCGAAGCCCTGTGGTCTTAGCTGCTTCCAACATATCACAAGGCAAACTCACCCCTCGTTTTTCAGCCTCTTTGATCACCTCATCAAACTTCACAATCGGCCCAAACTCTTCCTCATCGTAATTACCATCATCTCCACTGCCGCCGCCGCCGCCGTTGTCAGGTGGATATACTCCTTTTCCGTTACCACCGTCACCTCCATCAGCTGTTCTGATGATAGACTCTTGTCCGGTACATTTGATTCTGAAAATTTGATCAGTTTTCCCAATCGAATGATTTAAAGATACAAACTTCGATGAATTTGAGAGTCTTAATAGTGTGTTGTTTGAGTTGGAATCATTTGGAGGTATCGAAAGATTTGATATATGGAAAAGTGATGATTGAAGCAGGGCCATTGTTTGATGAAATTACGAATGTCTTGAAGTTTCAGAGGAATGAATGGAGTGTTTAGTAATAGCACAGAGTAGGAACAGAACAGCGTACGAGGAAATGGCATTAACGTTGGTGATTGCAGGTTGCAACCCTAAGTTCGATATTGACGTTTGTTGTCGGATTGCGCGGGGAACTAATTAACAGGGGTGGCGAATGTCGACCTTTCTCTGCATGACGTGTGTTGCATGAAATATACTACTAATAGAAAAATTATAATGCATTATTGGCAGAATACATAACCCCCCCCCCCCTCCCACCCACAAACTTGATTTGTTGAAATTGTTTATTTGGGGTACACCTAAACTATTCAGTGCTAATTACCTCATGAAATTGACTATTTAGTATGAGTTTGCGGGCTACTGCACTGTGAGCAGGTTATCAGTGAATAGTCGGAGCTTGTTGACCGGACTTGACTAATGCGGTTTACTAATGCAGTGGGCATGTTACCTAGTATGCACCCCAAAATTAGTCGGAGCTTGTTGCACCGGGCTTGACTAGTACAGTTTACATCTCATGTGTGATTTGCGAGCTAATTTTCCAAAAAAAAAATATACTATGTGATAACACTAATTTGTCATTGCAAATATACTCTGTTGTTTAATTTATTTTGAAATATTCTTTCGTGTTGGAAATTTTAAGAATTTGTTATCTAATGAGTGAATTCAAATTTGCAAACAAGTTTAAGAGTTCCCACAAATTGAAAATAATGAACGTGAAGCACGATACATACTTCTTTTAGGAAATAATTGGTCCCATCGCAATAAAGTGTTTGGACCTCGATTTTATGGCCACAGTTAGCACATACACTTGTATACTTTTGAAAAACAAAACACGAATACCTTCATCATGTCACTTTACAGAGCTCTTCATGAAGCTGTACATGTATAAGGGAGAATTTGGACATCAGAGTCCTATTGTATTGTTCCAAGGAAGGAACATATATTTACTAAGTATCAGCTGAGTTCTATGTTTGTATAAGATTCATAATGCTCAACAAGAGAGTACCAGCTTCTGCGATCAGGCTTTCACCATTCCAAAATTGGAGTGAGGGTTGTATGTTCTTTGGTCCAAGCGTGAGGGTTGTATGTTATGTAACAAACTCTATTTGGTCTCTCTGAGGGAAATATAAGGTGCTTGTGCCTCCAATTATCATGGGATGAATCTTTTCCAAACATGTAACCCAAAATTTCTGGGGCAATGGATAAATATTTCTGAAGACCATTCTTCAGTTGTATGGATGTCCAACCCGAGTCTTTTCATCATAAAATCAAAACAAAGAGGAACTTTTACGGTGTCTTGAGTTTCTCGGTTGCTCTATGGATGATCTTGGGGTTGGACCAGTGCTTTCAACCACATCTGGTTGAGTGTCTGACGATTGGGGAAGCAGCTTGCATCCAATCTTTCGGGCAAGAAAGCGTGGGGAACTGAGGTAACTGTGCGACTTTGTGACCTTTCTCATCTCTTGTTTGATCTTGCTGAATTCTTCTTCAAGTTCACCAACCCTGGACTTCATCCTTTCTAAGTCCACCTTTAGACCCTGGTTCTCACGCACGACTGTCACCCATCCATCTCTCTGAACAACTTGACCTGCCACATCACTGGGGCCAGTGACAGTGAGAGGAGCTGCAGGGGCACTTTCTGTATCCAAGACATGAAGGCAGCCAGCTAGAGCTGTTCTCAGTTGCAATTGCTCGAAGAACAGGACTTGGAGAACTACTCGAAGAGGCAACCTGTCATTCTGGGATGCATGTGCGCAAGCATCAATAGAGAGCTTCTGAAAGTTGATTATGTTGCAAAGCTGCTCCTTCTCTTTATCTGAGAGCCAAGGATGTGCCTATACAATTTCATTTTAATCCATTAAGAATTTCGTTCAGAACTTCCGAAAGGTTTGAATATTAAAAGGTTTCACAGTGCAGAGTTGAAATCAATTTAGCTCTAGATCATCAATGAAGTAAATAACAAGCACAGTGACAAGATATACGTCTTAAGACTACACAAACAGCATAAAAGAGAGCAGAAAACTAAGCTAGAAAATCAGTCAGCATACAAAAGATTAAGAAGCTTTACTTGATGCAAATTGCTTTGACTAGAGCTCTGTCCTCAGATATGAAAGACTGTTTAATTGGAATAGTGCATTTTCAGACAATAGGTATGCTAGTGACACGTAATGAAATACTAAAACACAGCCATCCATGGAATAGAATGAAAGGACTAACCATTATGTGGCAGTAAATTAGCAGGTAAATAAACTAATCACAAACAATCAGATACATCATCATTAGCACAAAGTGAGGCAGCGACTGAATCAAACCTTAAAGTATATATCTATAGCTCTATATAGCCCATCATGCAGAGATCTTGAAGATTCTGGGAGAGCTTCAGCAAGTGAACGAATTTTTCCAGGTTTTAGGTTCACATCAGATGCAACTTCTGCAATATAGCTGTCTACCAGCTTCGCCACTCTCCTTAAAGGGTGAGATGATGGTGATGTTCCTATCTCAAATGAAGATGGAACAGGTGTTGCGGCGACCCCAGGTTCAGAAGATATAAAATGATGAATCATTCGTTCAACACAGTCAGTGTGATATAATGTATCAGAATCTGAGTAGGAAGGTATCAGCAAACCATCAAGGGACGCTAGGTCCAATTGCATTCCTATTCTCCTCTCCAGCGAGTCCTGGCATGTGTGGTTCACACCAAGAATCAACGCAACTCGCAGAAGTCCCAACAAGAAACGGCAAAAAGATTTTCCCTTCAATTCAGGAAGCAGTTTCACAACACTTTCTAGGAGAACTTTCTGATCAACGGCAGCGGGTGTCATACTGAAACTAGCAACTGTTCTAGTTTTACCACTTTGCCCACTCTGCCACCGGCCAAGTCCCGGAAGGTACTTTCTACAGTAGTACATCATAGCACCTGCTAAATTTTCATGTCTAATACCTCTGGCTTCCATGGTTTGAATTAGTCTCTGAAATAATGGTACAGAAAGATATGAGATGTCTTCGAACCACCAGTCAGATTCAGTGGTTTGGATTCTAGCACCAGTGTTAATTCCATTCCACAATATACTACCTCCAGGGCTCTGTAAGCTGCCATACATCAACATAGGCCATCCAAATAAACTAGGATCTGTGCAGACCATCACAGAGAGCGCATTCAAGCATTTACTAATGATCTCTAGCTTATCTGCTCTTGGAATGACAGGATCACAAGTTTGGAGAGCCAATATGCAATCTTTCCAATTCCTTATAGTATTCTTATGAAAGTAAGCATCTGCCTTCAACAGTAAATTATCTTCTCCATACTCCTCCGTCATCTCTAAGTAGTCTGCTGCACAATAAATCATTACTATGTTCCTTGGGGTATATTCAACTCGAATACTGTAGCAGAATTTAACAGCGACCAGAAATATGTCACTCCCACCAGGGAAGTCTTCTAAAGTTGTCAGCAAAGTCCCTTCAGGCGGACCTTGAGCTGCTTCTAGTATTTTGGCAATCCTCCCACATCTTGACATAAGTGGAAACTGTAGACGGAGCATTTTTCGGCTGTTAGGCACGACTTGGTGTAGAGAAGTTAAATTTGATTTAAAAAGGTGAGTCGGGGAGTCCATATAAATTCAGCAATACTTGATCATGATAGGATGCAGAACAAGAAACAGCATTAAGACAAACTAGTAATGATTGAGAGGAAAAATCAAAGCAAGCATATTGAAAATCACCCTTGAGAAGAGTACAGTTACTTTGTAGACTTGACACTATAGTCATCTTCTACAGATCACTGATTGCACGCACATCAGTTCTAAACTAGGGCTTGCATCACTTTGTGAATTCTGAAAAATCCTATTAGATGAAACTAAGTTGCCACAAACATTAGCATTCCAGTTTATTTCGGCTCCAAAGTTCCGTAATTTTCTGAATCATTGCAACAAAAACTAGCTGATTGGTGAGAAAAAGTGAAGCTCGTTAGTGACTTTGTCAGTGGAATATCCACTGCTTGGGAGAAGCAAGAATTAGGAAGGAAGAAATACTGAAATTCAATTAGAATAAGCCATCGGAGAGTCACTAGATACATCGAAGTAAAACACTGTTTCAGGATATTATCCACACAAGCATAATCAGTCTCTGCTGTAATTGAGCGCCCTTCAAGCATAAATAGTCTAGGGAAATGATTCTCATGAGCAAAACTCGTCTGTATTCATCCAATTAAGATTCATCTCTTCTTTTTGTTTTTCTTTCTTTTTTCCTGAAGTGTGAATGAATTGAAAGGATTCATATAGCTGAACCTATCTAATTTGGGACTGAGGTTACACAAGTGAACCAAGTCGGGTATTTAAGTGGAGAAAGATAGAGAGGCGAGCCCATTATACACCGAGTTTCATAGGAGAAAATTTTCTCAGCTATTTAAAAAAAGGAGATAATTAACCAATTTATGTATCTCTTTCTCTCAATTAACAGATATCAAAAGGAATTATCAGAGAATTCAGATATTTTCAGATGCTGGAAATGATTATTTCCAAACAGTATTAATTGTTATGACTAAGCTAAATATAATTCCACCATTCACACCGTATGCCAACCCGTTCAAAATAAAATACTAATATATAATCCATGACGATTATGACACTTGACAGATTATTATTACTATACAAGAATTACTCTCACGCCCCATTATATCTTTCCAACATATCCATTAAATCGTCATTCTAAAAAAAGCATATCCATTAAATCATATGACAATGCTAGGATTATTATTACTAAACAAGAATTAATTGTAAGCAACCCATCAAGTCTTGCTATCATGTCCATTGAACCTTCCCCAAGACATAATATTCAAAACTCATTTGATGATGGCTATTCCATATTAAATATACCAACATAGTTAGTTATAGTTCAAAAAGTGATGGTCCAGAGCAAATGTGGATTCGGTAGGCGAATATTTTAAAGGAAGTTCATTTCAATTAGTTTATAACATAAACAGTATGAAAGTGCATCTCCTATAACTTTCGTAGTAGCATGGACTACCAGATGTAATTGCCAGTTTTTCCTTGACAGTTCAAATTAGAGATTACATACAACGTTAGGGACAACTCAAAAGGTAAAACAAGACAATCTTTTTAGTCACAGGTTAAGTTGCACGTCCTCAATTTTAAAGATTTAAAGAAGAACGACTACCTTGTGAAGGTGGAAGTTTACTCCATCCACTACCAAGGTAACATCACTGACCAAACTTGCATTGCAAAACCTGCCACGGGCATCAAACTATGAATCAAGAGAAAATACACAGCTAAATAATTCTAAGTTATCCAAATCTACAATCAAAACTATTATCACGTTTTTTATGCTGAAAGGTGAATGAGACTCCAATCAGAACTATAACCCAGCCAGGGAATCTCCTGCTACTGAAATAATAGTTTAACTTGCATTAACCAAATAGATTAGGTAAAAACATACATATCCTCCTCGCCATAAAATAGATACACCCCCCCACCCCCCCTCACAATATTACCATAAAGATTGATATTGCCTCAAAATATCTAAAGCACATCATCAAACTGGCAAGTTAACCTAAAAGCAAGAGCTTAATAAAGTTCAACTCTTCAATAATATCTATGCCGGATGCAAATTTCTTCATTTTTTGTAATGGTAGTGTCCGGGCTAGCTTGTGCGCCCCTTCGACTATTCCACGAGGTACCTTCTACCTCCCACCAGCACAGGTATCGGATAACTCATCCCACCAAACCTTAGGCAAATAGGAAAAAATCACCTAGTGTTTTTTGCTCCGCTGGAATTTAAACCTTCTCCTATCACCCTTGAGTGTTGGATGCAAAATTATTCATTGTAGCCAATAAAAATGAAAACTTGGGTATTTTTTAATCTAAAGAGAGGTTAAAAAAAATAAATTTACAACCAAAATAGGTTCTCTTTTATACCACAGAAAGAAATGTTGATGTAGAGTAACATACCAGTCATCTCCCTCACGGTAGAATCCAGTAACCTTCCCAGCAGGTGCCATCACAAGATCCAAACTCCACAACACACCTCTCTTTATTCAACCTTTCACTCAGTTTCTACTTTCTCCAACACAAATTCTCCTGAATTCAATTGAAAAAAACTTATGATACCCATATGATCTTAACATTTAATAACCAAAATTAAACGAACCCCATCAACGGAAAAAAGCAAACCACCAAACATGGGAACCACATAAGAGAATTCCAATGAGTCAAACCTTAAGTGGTCTTACAAGAATCTACTCAATTAATTACACACATAAAAAGCAATCATAATCATTGGTCCCCCTTCTCTTACAGCTAAGCTTCTTCCCCCTCCCCCCAACACCCCCCCCCCCACCCAAAATAAAGTTACCCTTCGCTCTTGTTATGTTTCTAAAAAAAGAGGCTCAAATTCACTGCTCACAACAACCCTAACAAAGAAAACAGCACAGCAAACACAACAAGTATGGTCCATAATATACAATACACTTTATTTTTATATATACTGTATACTATATGTTTATATACTTGTGGCCTATGTGTAAAGAGAACCCACAAAAGCAAACAAGCAACACAAAGATTCTTCCTTTCAGCAAAGACCAAATAGAATATTAAGTTGGATTTTTGACTAGTAGCTAGCTTTTTCATTAACTTGCATTTGTATTTACATAACCCCTCACTCACTACATGTTAACTCCTACGTGTACAATCCCCACCCCCCTCCATCCCTAAGGGGTTTAAAGGCCGGCGAAGAAGGGAAATGGAGACAAGAAAACATGGTTAATGATGAGAGAGAAGGGGAATATGATGGTTGGGTTTTTGGTTCAAGCTTTTTGTCGAACAGGTAGAGTGGGAAATGGTTTTTAATCGAGAAAACAGCGTGGATCCAATGAGAATGTGGCTTTGGGTTCTGTGATGGCTCTTTTTTGTGGTCCGCTTAATTGGGTGACACGTGAAAATGGCGTTACTACAATCATTTATTTTTCAAATGCGTTTCCTGCCTTTTATTGCTTGGTGCTTTGTTTTGTGTACAAGATAGAGAATAGAGAATTTAGGACATTAAATTAAGTCATTCATTAACTAAATACATTAATAAAAGGAGTAAGAGAAAAGTACAAAAGATGTGAGTTATTTGGGGAGCAGAATATAGGATTATACTCCAAATTCAATAAATGCTTCGATACATTATGTATTTAATTACTTATCAAAAGAAACGATACACCATGTATTTAGTGGTTTAGTGTCAAAACATATTTTCTCTAAACTATTGCAGAATCTGTTGTTTGTTGCATTATTGCGTTATACATGTTTGACTCAAAAGATGCTAACTCTTTTTAAGCAAATCAATCAAAAAGATAAAGGGGTAAATCCTAGTTAAAGATATTTAACTTTAGATCCGAGACGAATAATATGAGTAGAAAAACATAGCCGAGTATAAATATTGGGCGTGATTATAACTAGATTTAATAGCATAAAGAAAGATGCATTGAGTAACATTAAATGGCAAGAAAATGTAGATAAAGGAAAAGATTCACCCGATCTTGAGTGAGTCGGATCTTCTTTCATTTGATAAAGATGAATGATAGACAAAATACAAGAACCATTGGACCCTTTATGGATCTAATGAAAGGATCACAGATCCTCTCATCTCTTTTGAGAGGAGTGTTTACATATTTTTCTAGAAAGAGGGAGAGGGAGAGAGCCCGAGCCCCTCCATTTTGGGAAGTCCTCCCCTCCTATTTATAAGGGGGGTATCCATAAAAATTTAAAGAAAGGTACAATTTAGAGGGAATATTCGGTAGAATATTCCTTTTGAGTACTCCAAAGCAGACTAGCTGTTTCATGACTGTCTGACCTCGGCTTGTCCGAACTCGGCCTATCCGACCTCGGCCTTATTGATGACGGTCCGGCCTCGGCCTGTCCGACCTCGACCTTATGTCTCCGCGTACCGAATTTCTCTGATCTAATTTTGACCCATACAGTTAGTCCCTCCGCTTATCGAGGTCGTCTCTTAGTCGAGCTCGGTGAGCGGACTTCACTAATCGTAGTTCGAGAAATTCGGACGGGGAGGTCGACTAGTGTGAATCATGGATGAGGGTGCCGACATTTAGGTCAAAGTGGTATCCATGCGGGCTGAACTTTAGCAGAGTTCGATCAAGGCCAATGACTCGAGTGATGAATCGATCGAGAAGACGGTAGAGTTTGGAGAAGGCCGTCGAGGCCTGGATGGCAGCTTTGGCAAGGATGGCGGCATCGGAGGAGGTCATTCGCGTCCTTGGATCTGAAAGGGCGAGGAGGTCGAATGTGATTTTGGGCGAGGTCGCCAAATGTAGATTCGGGCGAGGAGACCGAATGTGAATTCGGACGAGGTCGCCTGCAGTGAATTCGGACGAGGTCGCCGAATGGGAATTCGAGCGAGGCCGAAGGTTGATTCGGACGAGGCCGAATGTTGGTTCGGACGAGGCCGAATGTTGGTTCGGACGAGGCCGAAGTTTGGTTCGGACGAGGCCGAAGTTGATTCGGACGAGGCCGAAGTTGATTCGGACGAGGCTGAGTGTTGGTTCGGACGAGGCCGAGTGTTGGTTCGGACGAGGCCAAATGTTGGTTCGGACGAGGCCGAACTCTTCTTTTTTGGTGACGGCCCTTGGCCGTCGAGGTGTTATTTCGAGTTGGTCGAAATGTTAACCCATCGTGGTTTGAACGAGGTCGAACTCTTCTCCATTGGCGATGGCCTTTGGCAGTGTGGGTGTTATTTCGAGCTGGTCAAGATGTTAACCCATCGTGGTTCGAACAAGGTCGAACTCTTCTCTTTTGGCGATGGCCTTTGGTCGTCGGGGTGTCATTTCGAGCTGGTCGAGATGTTAACCCGTCGTGGTTTGAACGAGGTCGAACTCTTCTCCTTTGGCGATGGTCTTTGGCCTTGGGGGTGTCATTTCGAGCTTGTCGAAATGTTAACCCGTTGTGGTTCGAACGAGGTCGAACTCTTCTCTTTTGGCGATGGCCTTTGGCCGTCGGGGTGTCATTTCGAGCTTGTCGAAATGTTAACCCGTTGTGGTCCGAACGAGGTCGAACTCTTCTCTTTTGGCGATGGCCTTTGACCGTCGGGGTGTCGTTTTGAGCTTGTCGAAATGTTAACCCGTTGTGGTTCGAACGAGGTCGAACTCTTCTCCTTGGCGAAGGCCCTTGGCCTTGAAGGATGTTATTTCGACTTATCGAAATGTTAACCCGTTGTGGTTCGATCAAGGTCGAACTCTTCTTCTTTGGCGAAGGCCCTTGGCCTTAAAGGGTGTTATTTCGACTTATCGAAATGTTAACTCATCGTCATTCAATCAAGGTCGAACTCTTCTTCTTTGGCGAAGGCCCTTGGCCTTGAAGGGTCGAAGGTTGATTCGGACGAGGCCGAATGTTGATTCGAACGAGGCCGAATTCTTCTTTTTGGTGATGGCCCTTGGCCGTAAGGGTCGACCCCCTCTTTTTTGGCGATGGCTCTTGGCCGTAAGGTCGACCTCTTCTTCTTTGGCGAAGGCCCTTGGCCTTGAAGGGGTGTTCCCTGGGGGAGTCCCAATTTGCTTAATTTTGCTTGCGCTGGAGAATATGATGTATTTCCTGGGGGAGTCCCAGTTTGCTTAATTTTGCTTGCATTGGAGAATATGATGTATTTCCTGGGGGAGTCCCAGTTTGCTTAACTTTGCTTGCGCTGGAGAATATGATGTATTTCCTGGGGGGATTCCCAGTTTGCTTAACTTTGCTTGCGCTGGAGAATATGATGTATTTCCTGGGGGAGTCCCAGTTTGCTTAATTTGCTTGCATTGGAGAATATGATGTATTTCCTGGGGGAGTCCCAGTTTGCTTAATTTTGCTTGCGCTGGAGAATATGATGTATTTCCTGGGAGAGTCCCAGTTTGCTTAACTTTGCTTGCGCTGGAGAATATGATGTATTTCCTGGGGGAGTCCCAGTTTGCTTAACTTTGCTTGCGCTGGAAAATATGATGTATTTCCTCTAGTTAAGCTTTTAGTGGCCGCTACCAGTTTGGCAAGGTCGTCTGCTTCGATATCCTGTGCTCGAGAGATTTGTTCGAGCTGGCATTCGCCGAACTCGGGTAACGGCTTGCGAATCTCGGTGTGGTATTCTTGCAATATTTGTTTCTTGATTTGGAAAGTCTCTGTGACTTGATTGACGACGAGTTGTGAGTCATATCGAAGGATGATTTGCCGTGCTCCATACTTGAGAGCTAGTTTCAGTCAAACTAAAGCTATAGATAGAGAATGTCGCCAAAGCGCTCTCTATTAGCATTCCTAAAAAAAAATGCTTGTAAATGTCAAAGCAAAAAGTGAAGCTGGCATGGCAAAGCGCACGAAGGCCTGAAAGGACGCCACTGTGCAGAACCACACCTCTCAACCGTGGTAATTTAGCTGCCAAGCGTAATGTTGGGCCACTGTAAAGAAGGAACAAACCAATCTTTGCAAGGAAGACATCAATTGTTGTATTCCTTCTTACGTCAGCAAACACATATAGAAATGCTTTTGTAATTGAAATAAATTGAACTGCAATTTTCCAACAGCAAGTTCTAGATTCTATGCATTTGACCAAGTTATAATCAACTTGCCTAATTCATTCTCAGGAACTCCTAAGGCTTTTCAAACAGCTTTGGAGAGCAAACATATTTATTGGACCTAGAGGCCGATAACACACATTCCTTTTGAGTGTCCTTTAAGAGAAAAAGGTGGGAGGTGGAGAGCATTAGTTAAATGATAGAAATGTGTGTTGTTAGGCTTTGTTTCATTGACGTTTGCCAGGATGTCCTTTCACATTATCAAAAATGGCTAAGGACTAGGAAAACAGTAGTAGCCGTACTGTAAAATTTGGGTTGTCATTCACAAACAAGCACTCATACACCGCCTTTATGTTCGCGTATGCATCAAATTCGCTTGGCTTCCCTTAAGATGTTCCATAGTTGGAATTGAATTTTAGATCTAAAGGAAACTAACATTTTAACTAGAAAATCCCCACAGACGGCGCCAAATTGTTTGACTCAAAAGATGCTAACTCTTTTTAAGCAAATCAATCAAAAAGATGAAGGGGTAAATCCTAGTTAAAGATAATTAACTCAAGATCCGAGACGAATAATATGAGTAGAAAAACATAGCCGAGTATAAATAGTGGGCGTGATTATAGCTAGATTTAATAGCATAAAGAAAGATGCATTGAGTAACATTAAATGGCAAGAAAATGTAGATAAAGAAAAAGATTCACCCGATCTTGAGTGAGTCGGATCTTCTTTCATTTGATAAAGATGAATGATAGACAAAATACAAGAACCATTGGACCCTTTTTGGATCT